TTCCAAATTGATTCTAGACCGATCTGACGATCACGGTTATCCGATATTGTTTGAATTTTAGTTTTTTTTCTACAAATTCAAATCACTAGAATTTTAGACGTGTATTTATAAAATATAGGTGAATCTTCAAAAAATATCAAAAAAATATTTTGCATGAAATAATTTGATCAAAATACGCTCGAAAAGTTTCAGGGGGTATTTTGATCAATTTGTTTTTCATGAATAATTTTTTTTTGTATTTTTATTAAGTGCGCCTTGATGAGAAAAACACACACCTAAAATTTCAAGTGATTTGGATATGTAGAAAAATAAATAAAATTCAAGTACTACCGAATATTCGTGATCGTCAAATCGACTCATATTCAATCTGGGCCGTTGGGCTCATATGTTCATATATAGGAAAATGTTGAGGTTAGCCAACTAGCTCATATCTACATATGAGCCCAACAACCCAGATTCAATCTGGGCTAATCTGATGGTCACAACCTCATTTCGTATTTTAATTTTAATTTTTTTAACAAATCCAAATTACATAAAATTTAGACATCTATTCTTCTCATCAAGGCGCACATAATAATAATATTAAAAAATTATTCACAAAAAATAAATTAACCAAATACCCCGAAAACATTTTAGGGATATTTTAATCAATTTATTTTTGTAAATTATTTTTTTGATAGTTTTATTAAAATCTCTTATTTTTAAATAATACATGCCTAAACTTTCAAGTGATTTAGATTTGTAAAAAAAAATAAAATTCAAATACAAAATGAAGTCAAGACCGTCAGATCGACCTAGATTCAATATGGACCATTGAGCTCATATGTAGATATGAGCTAATGGGCTAACCTCGTCATTTTTCATATATATATATATATATATGGAAAACTCTTCTCAACGCCTATAGACAAAAATGTACAGTGATTTCACCTACTTTTATTACCATTCAAACTTCGTCGCACGGTCACAGTTGTTTAGTAGTGTTTTATTTTTTATTTTTATTTTATTTTCTACAAATCTAAATTACTTGAAATTTAGAGCGTGTGTACATTTTAGTGAAGCACACCTAATAAAAATATAAAAAACATAATTAACAAAATATAAATTGACCAAAAAACCTTTGTCTAACCTCATCACCGTCCAAAGTTCATTGTACGATCACAATTGTCCGGTAGTGTTTCATTTTTTTTTACAAATCGAAATGACCTGAAATTTGGAGCATGCGTTCATCAAAAATAGAGAATCTACGAAATATATCAAAAAAATATTTTACATGAAAAAAATTGACAAAAATACCCCCAAAAAGTTTCAAGAGTATTTTGCTCTTTTTTTTTTTAGTGCAAATTTTTTTTTTATATTTTTTATTAAGTGC